TCACGTCCATCATGTCCTCCATCAATCCCTGAGGCTTTTTTATAAAATCCTCCAAACAACTCTTAAAGGTCTTGAACAGTTATCGAACCCTGCATTATTTTAGGTTTGGGCGCTGGGATTCAACAAAGTTCCAGTGATGGTAAATGTGTTAGAAACTCATTAGCCCCTTTATAGACTCAGCAGCTATTAGCATGTATTCATTCAGAGGCATGTTGAGGCCACCTGATGATTGTCAGTCCAATACTTCTTCTATTGAAATGCTTAAATGCTCAAATTGGTCACCAGCTAACTCCATCTGTCTGACGTTTGGTGCTGGGCTGGTGGCATACAATCAAGTTTATGTGTTACTGAAAACAGCTGTCTGCTGCAGCTGGAAACGTGATGAGAGCGGCGAGACTGAACCAGAACAGGAACGTTTTGAGCTGTGTCAACATGTGTGGAGAAAAACAAAATAAGGACATTCTCTGCCGGTACTACGAGTAACAACTTTCATATTAGTCATTTGAGCCTTTTTTTATATATATATATACAAATAGTTGAATGGGTTTTAAATTGTTCACAACACCTGAGATTTAAAATATTTGTTCTGTCAAAATCCTCAACAAGATATACAAATTATGTAAATATCACAAAGTCACACCTTAAAAGACAATCTAAGAGTTGTAAAAACAAGACCATCCATTAAATAAAAACTTAAATACTATGTAGAACCAGACAGTTGAAAATGAATGTTTTAAAGAGGCAAATGTTGACCGTTTTCAGTCTAAATGTTGGTTAAAGAATCTCTCAAAATGTACAGCACATCAGTTACTTGTTCAACATTTTTCGAAATAAGCTTATTCACTCTCTTATTATTATGTGCGAAAGCAGGTAAGTATATTCTCTCAAATAATAATAATATATTTCACTACTTTATCCTTCTATTCCACAACAAATAATTGGAAATGTACTTGAAAATCCACAAAAAGATCAGACAGATATTAGTTACTCTGTGATAAATATTTCAATAAATTATTTATTTGTTCTTTTCTCCTTTCCTTTACCGATCAACTAAACTACCTAACCAAATCAGAAGTAGATACACTAGCATGCATTTAAATGCTGCTTACACAATGTCATGTCAGTATTAAACAGAGATTGGTAAAAGTACACACATCCTTTACTCAAGTAGAAGTACAGATACTCGCGTTTAAAAATACTCTGGTAAAAGTAGAAGTACTGACTAAACTTCTTTACTCAAGTCAAAGTAAAGAGGCTTCAAAACGTACTTAAGTAAAAAGTACCCAACTAGCAGCTGTTTTAAAGAGTACCTGACCTCGCTTTATATTAATAGAACAATAATGTCATTGTTAGCTAATGAATGTGAACGTTCTTGATAACGCTTTACAAATAATCTAAATTAAATCGCATCATGGCCTAGTAATCTAAGCTTTATCAACATCGTAATATAAAGAGGTGTAATATTTGTTAATCCTTGTTTGGTACAATAACGTTTCATTACCTCTAATATGGTAAATCAAAATCGCAATTTCCATGTCATAGTTATTTTTCGAAAGAGTGCAGCCCTAATTCTTGACTCCTTTTCAGGTTGATATTATAAGAAGAAGAAGAAGGTGAACCTTTATTTAGTATGTAGTGTCTCTACTTTAAAGAGTCCTCTCCTGCTGATGTTCAGGTGTATATCAGTATGTAGTGTCTCTACTTTAAAGAGTCCTCTCCTGCTGATGTTCAGATGTATATCAGTATGCAGTGTCTCTACTTTAAAGAGTCCTCTCCTGCTGATGTTCAGGTGTATATCAGTATGTAGTGTCTCAACTTTAAAGAGTCCTCTCCTGCTGATTTTCAGGTGTATATCAGTATGTAGTGTCTCAACTTTAAAGAGTCCTCTCCTGCTGATGTTCAGGTGTATATCAGTATGTAGTGTCTCTACTTTAAAGAGTCCTCTCCTGCTGATGTTCAGGTGTATATCAGTATGTAGTGTCTCTACTTTAAAGAGTCCTCTCCTGCTGATGTTCAGGTGTATATCAGTATGTAGTGTCTCTACTTTAAAGAGTCCTCTCCTGCTGATGTTCAGGTGTATATCAGTATGTAGTGTCTCTACTTTAAAGAGTCCTCTCCTGCTGACGTTCAGATGTATATCAGTATGTAGTGTGTCTACTTTAAAGAGTCCTCTCCTGCTGATGTTCAGGTGTTGTTGGTCTGTAGTGCATTTACATGCACACAAACCTATAGACACACTACAGGATTGGGAGA